TGCCACAAAGTCCCCATCAGATGAAGACAAATCATCTTTAACACCAGTCACACCAGCTCAAAACCCCTATTTCATGTTAGCTCCCCATGTTGGTTTTCTTATCCGTCACCAAGATCATGTAAGACCATATAAGACAGTGTATTAAGTAAGACAACACAACAATCACAGTAGCATAGCCATTTATCCTAAGTCCTGTTGAGCCAACAAAACAGCCTGTGGCATATCCAGGATATTCTAAAGTAGAAGAATATCCGAGTCCGCAAAGCTAGACTGCTTCCCATGCGTAAACTTGCTCAGAGCTTGCTTGCTTATTTCTACAGTAACTTCCATCAACGGTCCACCTTAAAGGACCTGAAATACAAGGTTTCATCACTGTGTATCAGCTGATCTGCAGCAATGTTTTGTATAAGCTCTTCTTGGCAGTTAATAATTCAAACTCTTCTAAACCTCCCTTTGAGGAGAGTCTAATGCAAGGAGAAATTACAAGTCCATATTAAACACTTTCACCAGGCACTGGAACACTTTAATCTGACAACTTAGGATTTTTTGTGGTTTCATAGGTTAAGAGAAACTAAAGAACAACAGAGTTTAGTGCATATACTTACCATACTGAGTTTCTAAAATAAACTTGCATAGGGAATAGTGGCTATTCAGCCAACGATATTGTCTTCTGCAGTGCGTAACAGCCAGTGTTTACAGGCAATGTAAGAACAGAACATAAAGTGATTCTGTCCCCTTCATACATCCCAGCCCTCCAGTTACCAGCAGCATGTGAACCTCCTGAACTAGAGGTTTCATACCAGACTATCACATTCCATAGGTATGGATCAGTCACTGAAGCTGTCCAAATGAAATGTGATTTGTGGTTTATATTGCTATTGCCAACAACTGTATTAATATCAACATGCTTCTAGTAGTTTAACTTGAGAAATACATGAAATAAATGTCAAAGTTACTAACTTTAATGGCAAGGAAAACAAAATCTAACTGGCACCATTTTCTTCAGATTGATTTATCCTGAAAATTCAAGAGTGGGCATATCTACATGCAGAAGGCAGGAATATCTGAAGTAAACTGTCTATCCTCAAGTTCTGCTGTCAGCAGAAAAAAGAATTCTGAAGTCTCTAAAAATATAAATCCTTCCCACTTCTGTTAGGTATGGTAAATTATTTCTATCATTTTTACAATTAAACAAACAAACAAAAAATCCAGGCAATTTGAAGCCATAAAAGTTCCACCAGCGGAACACGGAAGCCTTTTGTTCCCATTCTCTGACGTCTTTGCAGTACCAAGCAGTCTTCACTTTTTGCTGGACAGGTATTTCTGCAAAGTGAATAAAGACTTAGTAATCAATTAAATTACACTCAGTAAAAAACTTTTCCTTTTCCAGCTGTTAAAAACACCTAGTGATTCAGAATCTGTTTGTAAAAAATTGTAAGGTATTAATTTAAAAATCTTAATCCAGGGAATTACTTGGGTGCTGCAAAGACAACCAAACGCAAGCCTACGCAGGCAGGGGCAGGCAGGGCTGACTTCTTTTGCCTGTTGTGTTCCCAGCTGGCCAGACACATACCAGCTCCAGCCCAAAATATGCAACCGTTTTCATGTGATGTGTCCAAGTTAATAGGCTTTTAGATACAACACTGCAATAATACTTCTCTATAGCCTCAAGATGAGAGCAGGCTCCCATCAGACAGCTCAGAGGCCAGGTAGCTGAGCTCCTTCCTCCCCCAGGCACCATCGGTTGGAAAATGTTAATCAGCCCTATTGGGGTTGCTCTCCCTATAGCAAATAAAAATTCTCACATGAACTCCCTTTCATTCAAGACTATACATTCAGACTAGGCCTGAAGAAATCCACATCCAATTGTAAAGAAATCAAGGGCTCAGTCCTGCAAATTCTTACTCTGACACAAAGTTCCTCGTGGGACCACTCTCAAACAATGTCCAGGTTGATAAGATTTTTATAACTGGCCTCCTGTCAGTATTTTATTTTTTAAATTAAATTGAAATTACTTGCATCTGTTGCTGAAGAATAATTATATTCCGTATGCAAACAAATACCAACAAATATATCAACAAATCTCTTTAAAACTGCTTCCTGAAGGTTTTATGCCAATCCACTGACAGAGACATTTCACACACCAAGCTGTGCACTGAGTTCACAACACATACAAATACAGTCACAAAAGCAAACTCGCAGTTTCACAAAGGCTCCAAAATGATGTATTCCAATTTTGCTCACAAATAATTACATCTAAAACCCAGCAGTCTATGTGTCTGCGTATTACCTGCTCACTCAGCTGCCTGGTCAGAAAGTAAAAAGCAAAGTCAGAACATAATTCCAAGGGGTTATTTTAAAGATACCAGGAAGTCCTACTTTCAGTATGTTACTTTACAGCAGCAGAACTCCACTTATAAATCACTCCATCTCATCCCCTTCTGTCTTACCATACAAGCATCTCAAAATACAGGATGATGATGCAGAGTGTGCTCTGTGTCCCAAGTACACCCAGGTCATTCAAGGATTATCTCCCCTTGCATCTACTTTTTTTTTTTGCTTCACTTCTGCTTCTGACTGGTGATAGCAGTAAGATACGTAAATATGCTTATTTCACTATGACAGGGTTAGATTTAGTTAATTCCTTTTTGCAGGAGTCACACACTTGAATTGACAGGAAAGTGTTTTAACACAAGCAGCATTTGTTTTTAACAACAGAAGTACAAATTCAATGCAGATTAACAGAAACTACATTTCAGCATTCAGAACTCTCAAGTAAGAGTATAACAGAACAGAAGCTTGGAAATGCGATAGAGGGTACAAGTCCAATTTCCAATTATTATAACCTAAAAGTGATAAATAATACTGAAAACCATAACCATCCCTCATCCTCCTCCTTCCCTGTCTCCTGTAGGTTTAGTTTATCAGTATCCAATCCAACTTCTTTTGACTTCCGGTCAAGTAAACAAAGACAACTGACATTAAGATAATTCCAAAATGATAGAAAATAGGACTAGATATGAGATATAATGTAGTTTTGCCACTATGGACTACAGTCTCAAGTACCTTGAGAGCCACATAAATAAAGAGAGCAGCTCTGACAACACAGATGTATTCCCTGCCCAAACATTCTGGTTTTATGAAATAACCTTTTGCTTACATAAAAAGCACATCCTACTAAAAACAAAGAAAAACCAACCCAACAAACCAAAACCAACACCAAAAAACAAACCAAACAAACCAAAAAAAGCACAAATAAAATGTTATATTTCCAGGAAGGCAGGCAGCTAAGGATTTTTCTCAAGAAATCTCAGTTTACGTATATATAGCAATGAGCTTTATGTCTAGAACATTTTAGAATTTAAACAACTGAGAAGACTACACTCCCGCAGTTACTGGCGCTTGTAGTCTGGAAAGAACTGTATCAGCGCAGTGTTACATCTTCCCAGAGCAGGCATGGAACAAGCTGCAGCAGTCTGGGGCTTACACATGCTAAGCACACTGACAGTAACCATAGAAGGAGAAGAAAAAAAGAAAAAAAAAAACACCAAAACAACAAAAAAGTTGAATCATACCCTAACTATAGTTTTGCTGGTACAAAAAAACTGTGTAGGTTAAGGTCTGTACAGAAAGATACAGTAGCATAAATGCAATGACTCGTGGTTTAAAAACCTCGAAGAGAAAAGCAGAACTAAGATGGATGTTTGTAGGAGTGACAAACAAAAATAAAACAGGGGGAAAGAAAAGCAAATGCAAAGCATGAAAAGAAGCTTGGTGAAGGAAAAGGTAAACAAGAACAAACATTAGTATCTTAGGGGTGAAAGGAAGAAAAAAAAAAGGCAGTGACTTACTTCATGTCAGACCAGGACTTAATTAATATTCAACTGTTTTCCCTTAACTACAGATTTATTTACATCTAAACAATCTGTAGCCCTAATAAACCACAGGTTAAGTATCTTCCCTTGTTTTATTTTAATTGCCTCAAAAAATTGTTAGACAACATGTTAGAAGCAAAATATTACAGTTTGAGGAACCCAAAAAGGATTTGCAGCTATCAATGAAGATAAAAAACACATACGAACCTTTGCAAAACAAGAAAAAGTATTTTGCAAAAGGATATGGACAAACACTAGAGGCAGGATTCTACTGCAGCTGAAGGCTAAAACTCAGGTAACGAATGCTGAAATATGTAAGAGGAAAAATATTTCCTCTTTTATTATTTGGGTGGAGAAGAGAGAAAAGTAATATTCCCACTTCAAAGTTCTCTTGTGTTTTTATCAAGAGTAGACCTTCCAACCTACAGCCACCAGCAAAAATCCAGCTTGCTTTACTAGAAATCTCATCACTTTATGCTATCCCTTAAAATCAGGAAAGTAATCCAATTCAGAAAAATTACAAATATAGACCAAACATTTTTAAGAACTCCAGAAAGGGTTGTGCTGAAGAAGGATTTGGGAAAGTGAAGACAGTGACAGCAGCAGCAATGTGGAACTATCAAAACAATGTCCACCGATTCCTTAACAATACTGTGAATCTCTCACTGTTGTTTTTTTTTCCCCCAGTTTTTTAGCTGCATGTTGTTTTTCTGGTATGCTACACAGTTATTACAGACTTATCGACTGAAACATTATACCCATACTCACAGCAACAGATGAGCATTCCTGAACTACTTTGCTACCAGAAAGTATGCACTTTATTGGCCTTATCATTGATAAGACATTGCTCAGGCTCTTCTATTGCTCTAAACATGAAAATATTAAGTGAAAACAAAACTGAAGCCCTGAGCAACACTGGAGGCATTATGATATACATTTAGTTGTTATCTGAGCTATCTTTAAGGCATCTGTCAAAGTCTCTCCAGCTGCCAGAGACAGATGACCACAACAGATCCCTGTTTCCCCCCTACCCCAAGGTCTTCCTTACAACACTGCAGCCAGGATTCTGCCAGCCCTCCTTGTTCTGCAGTGCTAATGCAAGCGTGACCAGTTCTGCCTACTCACCAGGGAGGGTAAATGTGGATGACATCCTGGGGCTTGCTCTTCAGGTGAGCTGCTGTCTCTCTTGCAAAGAGGACTTTGAGTATGGGTTCTCCTGCATTGATGACAACATCCTCAGATGAAAATGTAGCAGGAGGCTGTTCCAGCTGCTGGCAGATGGCGACTTGTATTGTACATTCTTCAAACATTTCTAAGATCTTCACAATTAAGACATCAGATTTATCTGGAAAGTAAATTAAAATGAAAAATAAAAATGCAAAATCTGCATGAGGAGAATGAAAATCTGGCATCCTGATGACGTGCATCCCTCTGCTTTCTGCAGATATGTCCAACTGTGAAAAATCCACATGAGTAGAATACATTGCCCCACCAAAAGACATGTGTTAAAGATATGTTAAAGTTTTCTAGTAATTTTTCTTCTCTTTGTAGATTTTAGATTTTTTAAATTATTCTTCTCTTTATTTATATAAATCAACTGTGGAGACAAAAGCCTACCTGCACTTTTTCCAAACACCAATGAAATCACAAACTCCTTACAAGAAACCCTCTCCCACTACTTTTGAACTTTTTTATCTTGCAACTCATTCAGTTGTTCTGTCTTTTCTATTAGATATGGCACAAAATTAATTTTTAAAAAGAATAATCACACTGTGTTAAAAGTGAAGCTGTGTTTGCCCTCCTTGACCTTTCTCAAAGCAACAGCTATCAGGGACCAAGTTAGAAGAGTACCCTGTTAGGTACAAAGCATCTAAATGCTGATGGATGTGGAGAAAAAGGGATTAAGATAAATTCAGTGCCTAAAACAATTTTTTTGCAAAATTGATCATCCATTTCATCAGTAGGCAATCAGGATACATAAGACTCTCTTGTTTTAAAGCAACATAAACAGATACCAGCATCTCCACAACTCAATTCTAAGCACTTTTGTGTATGCTGAACAGGAAACAACTTTGAAATGAAATGAAATTACCTCTAGGTTGCTTTGCAGTCTGCACAGAGCAACAGCTACACAGGCAGACATGAGCCAGTGCTGTAAAGACTATGTAAGATTTATCATCTTTTCTCCCCTAGTCCTGCTCAGATTTACACTCTGGTCACTGAGGGGATAATTGTTATTATCTACCTGCCAAATACTATAAGCAAGTAGTGAGGAAAGACAGGGTGCCAGCAGACAGGGGCAGCAGAGCCCAAATTGCACCCATTCTGATTCACAAGTTGGGTTGGGAAAAACACAGTATCCCAAGAAAAACAGCTGATACAAATTATTGTCTTCCCACAGCAAAGAAGAAGCAGGGGAGGAACTGTGAACGTGATACTGGAACTTAACAGCAGAGCTGTATTAGTTATTTGTTTGTTTATTTTAAGGCCCATTTCACAATTGTGAATGCCTTTCCTTTGGAAAATAAATAAAAATATTTTAGTTTCGGTTTATGAGAAACTTCAAAAAAAATTAACCCAACCCTCAAGAAACCCAAACCAAAGAAACTGGCCCCTATTAAATACAGTTAAATTCTACAAAAAAGAAAATATTTTGTCCCTGTTTTGTATTTCCCAGACTTTATTACATTTTATATTGAAATAAAGTAATTTTGAAATATAAAACCAAAATGTTCTCAAAACAACTTTTATGTTAACCAAATTTTCATCACATGCAACATGCTTCTGCAAAGTGTTATGTTTTCCATGAACTGGTATTTTCCAGCAGGATAAAGGGTTCCACCAGAAACTCCCCCATGTGATGAACATGAGCCAGTTCTGTCCAAGACATTACAGCTTGACCTCCTTTTCCAGATCTGAGAAGCAGGACTAGAAAAATGGATCCTTTCTGCCAACTCCTTTGAGACCGACTGCTGAAGAGATATGGTTGCCACAGCTACTACTCCTCACCACTGTCACCTTCTCAGGGAAAGCTGTAACATCCCAGTGTCACTCCAAATACTCACTGCACTGTGTTAAGTAAGGTCTGCTTACGTGCAAACTTCTGATAAGTGTGAGCGCGGACTAGTTTTCTACGCCTAAAGGCAAGGACTTAGAATATTCACACTTGAATTCTGCTTTGCCTGACTAGCTGCAGTTGTGGTCCTCTGTCAACCCCAAGTCATCTGGCACACATAAACAAATTCTCCCAACCACAAAAATTCTCAGCCTTCAAAGTAACTGAGCACTTACCTCTTCCCTCCAGACATACTGCACAATTTGCATTTCCATCCACTTAAAAAACCAAGTCACAAAAAAATCAACTTCAATTTTGAAATACACCAGCAGTTAATTAAAAAGAAGTACTCAGACAGCTCGTGAGAGAGACTGTTCATCAGTTCTGAACTAAGCATTTCTTACACGCAGAATTTTACGACAATTCTTACTGGTCAACAGCATATATTACTCAGCTGATAAAACAGGTTAAAGACAATGAATGACAAGCTAATAACATTTTACTTTCAAATACCTCTGATAATAAAACATTTAAAAATACTAGTTAAATCAAGAACTTTATCTACATGAAAGCCTCTAAAAGAAATTGGAGGAAAACACCCTACCAAGGTGCAAGTCTCTTGCAAGCCAGTCTTAAGGTTAGTGCAACCACTGGGAGTTGGTACTAAATGAAGCTGAATGTTTCTACATAAAAAGCAGCACAATTTCAACAACTAGCAAAGTCTCACACTTGGCACATACGCACATTCTACAGAACCACAATCTATTTGTTTATTTAGATGCACACAGATAGTTTAATTTAATTACTCAGAAATTATTATTACTGCTGATGCTCTCTCAAACAACATGGCAAAGCACTTTGGATTCCTGGCACATGATGAAATACCAAAGCTCAGAACGTAGCTTCGTTGTTAATTAATCTGGCTCTTGTATTGTTATGTCAATCAAAAATAAATCAAACATATTTAGCTGCACAGTAAAGGGAGAATTTGTGGGTGAGGAGATGGGCTGGCTCACTGCAATTTCTACTGTTGCCAGAGAAGTTTATTTCTTTGTTTGTCTATGTGAAAGGCTTACTTTAAGGTTTTGCATTGTTTACATTCACACATGGATAATTAACAGAAGTTCTTGCTCACTAGCTGAAGTCCTCATTCACTTAACTTTCCTTGTGAAGCAGAATTACAGCCCAAGAAATTCAAACCTGCAGATGTGCAGGTTTCATGATAATACCTAGTAATCTTAAACAAGAAAGAATACTTTACAATAATACGCATTTTAAAAGGTGCAAGTCAGCTAGAGAGTCAGAGAAAACATCCACTGACACTGGCTCAAGGCTCATTTGAAAGATGAAGGATTATAAGCAGAAACCCTATTCATTCCAGAAGCATGAAGTATAAGTTCAAACCCTAATATCTGAGGCCCAAGGTGCCACAAAGAGATATAGAAAGGTACTCATAAATCTGGTTGAGTGTGAATTTTAAAGAGGTATTTGGGATGTGTGCCTCTAAAAGAACCCTTTAAAAGGAGGGGAAACCAAAATTTTCCGTAAGAAGAAAAGCCTCCACAAAGACATGCAGCAACATGCTAGCTACTAGGGATTTAAAGTGCTGGTCAGAAGAAGGGCCAGAGTACAAGCAAAATCAGGTACCAGTGATGAGCTGGGTTAGTTTCCACCCCTAAAGGTCACATCAGCCCTTTGCAGAATACTGCTGTGGTAAGTGCCACCCACTGGAAGGCAACAGACAGAAATCATTGCTAGATGGACCATGATCAAACAAATTAATTCCTCCAGACCTCACAAGTGGTCTAGAATGAGTGAAACCAGCAGGAGAGACTGACTAATGGGAGGAACAAGCCCTTTAAGCAGGGAAGTATCTCTGATGAAGCCTCTCTGTGATTGACAAGAACGTCCCTCACCTCCCATCCAAGAAACAAGAAGTTCTAACAAAAGCCATCCAGCAGCTCTGCCATGAAGAGGCTGGACAGGCAAAATCAGCACCAATTCACCAGCATACACAGGAGCCACATCTTCAAGCTTCTCACAGAGTTGAAGAAATCCTAACCCAAACCTCGGCAGATGGGACATGAACCTCTCAATGCTACTGTTAGCAGAACCTTTGAAATCTCAGGGAAAGGTCTTTTTGGCAACAGAAGTAATGGAACAAACCTGGCAAAGACATTGGGCTTAATTTCCAACAAAAGCCTGATTCTTGACAACTGTGTGATCAAAACAAGAGCTGTATTGTATACATGTGTTCAGAAAAACAAGGAGTAACTTCTTGGTAGAAGAAATAAATTTATTTATAACTACTAAGAACACAGACACCAGTTCTGGTTCAGAAAGGCAGTCAGTGAGAGATCTTTGGGAGATCACTGGGAAAATACTTTGGGGAAATATCATCAAGTATTAGTCCTGTTACAATTTTTCATAGACATGTTGATAGCTCTTGTCTCTGCCAGAAACAGGATCCTAAGATAGAGGTTTGGCTGACCCACCTAGCAGACCTGCTTTTCCATGCATAGGTAATTATTAACTCCAGGTGACCTTTAGGATGTTGGTCTCTCACTCCAATTTGGAACCCGAACATGAAGTAGCTCTTAATCCACAAAGATATTTCAAGCCCATGGGAGATGAACAAACAAATTTCACACTGAATGCATGGGTCTCCCTGGTTAGTTCCTTTCACTTCTGTTTATTATTTCAGTCCATAGGGTGGTACTGCCCTTCAGTCATGTACCATGTCATATACCATAACATTGAAAAATGTTCTGACGCGTTACTTTGCAGATGTTCTGTATTGCTCTGAATTCCAGGAGGGTTAAAAAAAGTTCCCCATTCATTTAGAGATCATAGACAGTGAGATCTTGAGCTTTTTGAAAATTTCAGCATGAGTCTACAGTTTTTGGCAGAGTGAAGGCCTGTAATCTTGAGACCTAACAAAGTGGCTTCACAGCAGATGCATATATTTAAGCCACATCAACACTGAGTGTACGTGGTCACGGAGGGTGCACTGGCCATGCCCAGGGCAGCCCAGCAGGGAGGCTAAGAAGAAAGCCAGTCTGCTTTGACTCTTAACAATCAAAAAGCAGTTTGGAGAGAAGAAAAGGAAAAACATCAAGTAGCACAATTAAAAATAAATGTTCAGACATTCTGGCTTCAGTGCCTGAAATACAAATCTAAGGTTTGCTTTAGTAACTCCGTAACTACCAATAAGTAAGATAAATTTGGAGAAAAATATAGAAATTCTGATCTCTTGGAGACTACCTATTTTATGTTTTTCTTGCTACACAGTGACAGGAAGCTGAACACACTGCAGGGAGAGGACCCATGGGACTTGATGTATGGAAATGCATCAAATGTTGACATCAGTAAGACTACACATAGTATCACCTCACTCAACTGAATTTTTCTAAAATGTTACTGTTCAAGTGTTCCAAAAGAGCACCTGTACCATTCAATGGAAAGCTCTCAAAGGGAACAAACTCTGTGTGGAGCCAATTCATAGAACTCCAGCAGCACAGCAGTCCTTGAAACTATAGGGTGAGGAGAAGTGCTTCAGGACAACAAACTAGGGAGCACAACACCTCCCAGGTCCTGAAGAGAAGTCAGGGTGGAGGGTAATTTACCAAGTTTGTTTATGACACCAAGCTGTGTGGTGTGGTCAACATGCTGAAGGGAAAGGAGGTTATCCAGAGAGACCTTGACAGGCTTGTGAGGTGGGCCCATATCAACCTCATGAAGTTCAGTAAGGGCAAGTGCAAGGTCCTGCACCTGGATTGGGGCAATGCCCACCATAGTTAGAGGCCCAGTGGATAATGGATTGAAAACAGCCCTGAGGAAAGGGACTCGGGAGGGAAGAGGGGGGTGCTGGTTGATGAAAGTTGTCTCTCTGGTCTACGAGCGCACATTGCCAGCTCATGTTGAGCCTTTCATCAACCAACATCCCCAATACCCAATGGCATCCTGGGCTGCATCAAAAGAAGCGTGGCCTGCAGGTCAAGGGAGGTGATTCTTCACTTCTGCTCTGCTCTCGTGAGACCCCACCTGGAGCACTGAGCCCAGATCTTGAGCCACCAACACAAGGCGGCCACGGAGCTGTTGGAGTGAGTCCAGAGCAGACCCACAAAGATGATCAGAGGGCTGCAGCACCTCTCCTATGAAGACAGGCTGAGAGAGTTGGGGTTGTTCAGCACCGAGAAGACTCTGAGGAGACTTTATAGCAGACTTCCAGTGCATGAAGGGGCCTACAGGAAGGCTGGGGAGGGACTTTTTACAAGAGCATGTAGTGATACGACAAGGGGTAATGGTTTGAAACTGGAAGAGGGTAGATTCAGATTAGGTATTAGGAGAACATTCTTTACTGTGAGGGTGGTGAGACACTGGCACAGGTTGCCCAGGGAAATTATGGATGCCCTGTCCCTGAAAGTGTTAAAGGCCAGGTCAGCTGGGGCTTCAAGCAAGCTGGTCTAGTGGGAGGTCTCCCTGCCAATGGCAGGGGCTTGGAACTAGGTGATCTTTAAGGTCCCTTCCAACCCAAACCACTCTATGATTCTGTGACTCTATGACAGTGGGCACTCCTCATTTTTTTTTTCCTATTTTCCATTCCTCCATGAAGATTTAAAAATCTCACAATGTTGAAGAACTGCATGTCACCCACAAAGCTGAAGGACATGAGATGCTCATCGGAATGTGACTGAATAACTATCACACATGGCACAGGTAGAAATACATTTTTGTAAAGGCCACAGTGTCAATGCAGAAAACAGTGAACTACAAGCACACAGAACAGATCTCACACACACAGAAGAAATGTGGAGCTTAGTGAAACCTGTATGTGTATGTCTCTGCTCCACTGACTATTCTGGAAAAAAAGAAATTTACTTATATGGAAGCATGAAGAAGAGCAGAGTAGAAATCAGTATTATTCTGAAAGTAAAAAGCCTTTAGCAGTAAAGAACACATAAACCTCCCAGTAAAGGTACATGTGACTTACCAT